GAGGAACACAGAAAATATCATTATCGCTGAGATCCAGTAAACGGAGCTTCGTGAGTCGGAAGAGTGTCTAGAACACGCATAATATTTCAAACATCAAAACAAACAATAGACTAGTTGTTTAATTTTGAAAGAACAAACCTTTGGCAATTCTTTAATGTGATTCATGGCAAGCAGAAGCTCTTCGAGCCCACGATAACGATCAATATCATGAGGTACAGCCTAAAAGGTGTGGTAGTGAGAGTTCAAGATGCCACGGCGAAAACATAGACTGAGTCAGCACAAAAATACCTGAAGGTTGTTTTGTCGACGATCAAGCGAGTCTATTTGACGATTACATGCTAATGGAATGCAGAAAAAGGACGGCATAGTATCAGCAAGACCAGCGCAAAAATATATAAGCCTAGAGGAAAAAAGAACGAGTTAACTAATACAGCATAAAAGTCTATTATTTGCAAGTACCTATATTATCCAGCGATCATGGAAGACAGGCCCCGAACTATGTCGCTGAAAATGGAAGCGTACAGCATATACATTGGAGAGAAATTTTGTACGGTGTGTAATTTGGATAGGAGTTTCATCAAACTAGGTATAATATGATGTACAAGATAAATGTTGCACGATAAATGGAAAGGATTCATGAATCACCATCACAAAACTTACACTATGTCAAGAAACTGAATCACCTCAACGGTGGGAAAAAAACAGGAGAATATGAGATAAAACATGATATAGTCTTCTTTTCGAGTTTTGAAGAAAGAAAAACGATAACAGAATTATTACATAGTATAACATCTGCACTTATCTTGCTGTACGTAAACTACATTTTGTTCGGAGAATACAGCGGTGGTAAATATAGCTGCGGCAACGCATCCATGAATAGTGCAATTTGACGCGAGACTGCTTGTTCGTAGATGACACAGCGGCACTGACAAAAGCCATGGAAATAATTCTAACTGAAACAACGCTCGCTCACTATTTTATAGATCTATTTGCGCCAACTCTTCTTGCTTATTATTTACAAAAGAATCGCTTGTATCTGTTTTAAAAGAGTGCGAGCCAAAGTTTGCTATACAATAAAATACAAAATTCATAATCAATGACATTGAATACCTTCGCAGTAATTCATAGTTGGAAACAAGCGGAATGGTGGAAGTAATGAAAAGGAAAACTGTTTAAAGCAAAAAATATCTTCAGCGCTAAAGAATTCAGTAGGAAAAAGGGGCTGTCAATCATTCAAAGAAAAGTTTGCGAATTGATAAACATTGAGATTAGCGGTACAGATAACGATCCTCGTTTTTCGCAACGTTTACAAAACTAAAAAAATGAAGCAATTTTCATGTGAGCA